ATCTTTAATCCACGCTTAAGCGTTCTAAATGCTAGCGAGTTGTGTTTTTCTTTACAATGGGCTAAACAAATATATACCGATTGGCCCCATTCATACATATGTACTTATATTTAGGCAAAATAACCTTTTTTAATTCAAAATAGATTTACCCCCCCCTCCTCTCCCCAATCTTCAATTTAAAAATTTTAATTTAAGATGACTGTAGGCAGTCTTCTCTTAACAGAAATTTTCCCTTTACGTGTTCGTGGACTCGGTGTTGGTATAAGTCTTTGGTTTGCTTGGATGAATAATTTCTTAACAAGTCTACTTTTCCCTATGGCAGTTGATGCTTTTGGTTATTCGATAACTTTTGTTATTTTGGTTATTCTTTGTTGTATTGTTGGCATTTTTGTTTTAATTTTTATACCCGAAACACGTGGAAAATCTTTGGAAAAGTTGGAAATGGAATTTCAAGGAGAAAGTAAAGAATCTGTAAACGAAACGAAAATTAGTAATAATGAAGAAGAAGAAAAGAACTTTAAATAAATTTTTAAAATTTACCCAAGTGTACACATTATTGTTACATACAGTAAATTATTTTAATTAAAGGCCTAATATTTTTTAATGGATTTTTCGGCAAACTTCGCCAGCTCTACAGTATTTTATAAGAATTGTAATGTGGCACTAAATAATTTTGTGAATAGTTTAATAATTCCCCTACTAAGATTTGTTTCTAACTAAAAATAATAAAACTAGCAAAAAATAAAGTAGCTTAAAACTAACTAAAATCATTCTAAAACACACGAGTGCAAACGTTCATTTTTTGTCTATTAAATGTATTCGTTGTGCTCTCAGCGATTGCAGCAATGGGATTTCCTGTCTTTCTCTTTCCCATGTCCCCCCTTTAACTCTCTTTTCTTGTCAGCAGGGAAGTCATTGCTAAAAAGCTAATAAAATAAAAAAACTTGATAGTTAAATATACTAAAGTTTTTGGAGAAAGGAAAAGAAAAAAAGAAATGAGAAATTGTATTATTTTTTTGAAGAAAAATAAAATAAAATGAGTACACATCAACCAGCCGCCCCCCCCCCTCCTAAATATAAATTTATTTTTCATTTGCCTATTTCATTTGTTTCTCTTAATATTCCCGTTTTTAAATCGCTCGACTCCACCCTCCAAATAACATTAAATATTTCATCATACAAACGCTAAGAACTCGTGAACTTGCCCAAAGAGCATGCTGATTGTGAGGATAATAAATTCTTAAAGATATTTTTTATTTACACTTTCATAAATACCTTCTAATTTTTATTGTTATTATATTAGATTTGTATTCTTTAAAGTTAACAATAGTGTTTGCCGGAGACTAGTAATTAACCGGTATCCCTGGTTTTCAGTTAATCCAAATTTAAAAAACCGGTTTTGAGTAATTTCGATCATAATTTCGAAAATTTTTGGTTCTAAACTGGTCGACTGGGCTTTTTTTAAAGAATACCCTAGTTAATAATGATTCGAAATTTTAAAATGATAATTTAGGTTCGGATTTTTATTTAAATAATTTTTTATGCAAATACACATCAAAAGAAGCCTAATTTTTCGCATTAGTTACTCGATATTCTGATTTTGAACAAAGTTAAATTTCAATATACCTCAATATTTTAGCGATTTCCCCGTCATTTCAATATTTTTCACTTTTTACAAATTATCTGTTTATTTGTGCATATTTTCACTACTTCATAATTTAATCAAAATTTTAATGGCAAATATAAAAAAATTCATTCATCATGGCCGCGAGAGTAGGTTTCGAAATTTTCAGAAGGGAAATTTACTTTCCAAATCAAACGGACGTTCTGAGGTACAAGGACTTAAAGTTCCTCAATGTAACCTCTCAATAAATTATTCTTCCTTACTCCTAATCTTTCCCTACATGAATTCCAAAATATCTGCTAACTGGCTTATGCCCTTTTTTGTATATTAAAGTTATCCCCCAAAGGATCACTTCTTTTCTGTCAATTTTAGTCCATTTGGATTGACCTAATCTCCCTTCAAGTTTTTATCGATGAAAAACATTAACGGAGCAAAAGAAAAGGCCATCAAGGGAGAGGGAGGATAGGTGGACCTTTGGACCCCCCTACTTTTCACATACTCCACACTCCACACACACACTTTCCTTCCTCCACTAAACTTTTTTTCCGCCAATATATTTTCTTCTTTCCTTCAAAATATCACCAATCAATCATACAAACAATCTCCGCATTTTCCCTATTTTCTAACCGCTCAATCTTCTCGTTTATCATTTTTGTTGATCCCACGTTCTGTTCACAAGCACTCGCGCGCCCATTAATTTTTACTTCTATTCGATAATTCTAGTAGATTGGATAAATTTGTTTAGAATTTTAAAAATTAATTTTTAAAAATCTTTTTAAACAATTTAAAAAACGTTACGTTGTGGTGGAATTTTTTCTAAATTAATTAAATAAGCTACACGTTAATTTTGATATATTTATTTAACTGATAAAACTCTTCCATATTTTTTAATTTTTGAAATTTTTATTGACAAAAATCCAAAAAAAAATTACGGAAAGTCTGGACATTTTAATTGTAATTTCAAAAATTCATTCCGTTCTTAATCCCAAATAATTATTAGATTTTTGGTTATTTTTACCTAATTTTTAAAATATTTGTAAAAGTTAACTTAACATTTAAAATTATTTTTAAAAAAAGAACACAGCCTTTCTAGTGCCATATCAATCTTTTTCCTTCAATATTTAAATTACTTTTATTTTAATTTTAAAAATTGTGGCATTTAATAAATACAATTAAATCAAAGATCGCTTTTTGGTGTTTATTCTAAAAATTTGTTTTCGCCAGCCGTTTCTAATATTTTTTTTACTTTTTTCTAATGTACTTTGCACTTATTTTTCGGCTGTCATTCCTTAAAAGACCTTTTTTATTTTTTTTTATTTTTTTTCTCTTTTATTTTGAGTGCAGACGATAAAAACAAATATTTTTAGTGCAGGAGCGGATATATTTTTATTTATCTTTTTTTTAAAGTCTAACTCACTCCCCTCTCTCCCCCCTCCTCTCTCCCCTCAATTTCCGATCTCTCGTACTCACTTGCGCCCTTTCACTAACTGATTATTTTGGCCACATCACGTGATTATGGGGGCAAAACTATTTTTTGTTTTATTTTTTATCTGTCTTCGTCTCTCTTCAATTTTGAAATAAAAATAAATATTTGTAATATTTATGTATGATGTCCACATTCCGTTCTTAATCCCAAATAAAAATGTTAGATTTTTGGTTATTTTTATTTTTTTGTTATTAAATTTTATAGTTTTAAATAAATATTTTTTGTTCAACTTAAATTTTTTGGATTTATTTTTAAATTAAAAGAGATTTTATTTTTGGACGAATTTAGATTCAAAATTGTTTTAAATATGTAAAAAGAGATTTTCTCAGAAGGCAGTCCGGAAATATTTATTTGCTAATTCCCTTTCCCATCCCTTTCCCAAATATATTTCTTAAATTAAATACCAATAATGCACTTAATTTGTATTTCTTCAAAATAATATTTTTATGTCATCATTTCTTTCAAAATTCTTAATTGTTTTTGTTTAAAATAAAATATTTTTGCCTTTTTATCAAATTAAATCATTTTTACAATTTTATTTTGCTTTCTCCCATACCTTTAAATATTTGTTCGAAATTATATTTGTTGCTGTTCCTTTACACTAGACCATCCATTTGCGTTCATTCACCAAATACAAATATTTTTTTTAGTTTCTTTTACGGGCTGCCATTTTCAGAGGAAATGAGTCATTAAGGCGTTGGGGCGTTTAGGGGGGTAGATTTAAAAAAATAATTAAAGAATGCTTGGATTTATTTTGTACTAATTTTATTTTTGTGTTAGCATCTTGAAAATTTTTATTAATTTTTTATTAATTTTTTAAATTTTTATTAATTTTCTTAAATTTATTTAAAAATTAGTTAATATCAAAAATTCCTACAAAATTTTACTCAATAAACTTCAATTAGAGACCGGCGCGGGACGGGATCCCGACAGGATTTTCCGCGATCCCGAAATCCCGGATTTTTTTGATTTTCGGGATTTATCCCTCGGGATCCCTTCCCGGCATCGGTTAAGAAAAAACTCGGGATCCCGGAAGTCCCTACATTCAATACCCAACGCCTAAACGTCATTAAACCCTCAAACATTCCTCCTTTTCTTTCTCATTTTTATTAGTCATTTTTTTGTTTGCCAACAAATATCTAAATACAAAAATTGTTTGGAAGGTTTTTACTTTCTTTCTTTAAAGAGAGGAGGTCTTTTACTTCCTCCCAAGGTAAAACTATTTTTAGTTTAGTGAACCTAAACAAAATATATTTATTAACGGAAGTTTGCAAAAAGAAAAATCAAAATGTCAGTACTAAACTGATAAAAAAAAGAAAATAATTATTAAAGGCATAAAATACTACATTAACATTTAATATAAAAAATATAATTTTATTCTAAATAATTTAATTTAGTAATAAATTACTTAAACCTTTAGTTTCAATTATTTTTTTATTAAACCCTCTTACTTTATAAATTCCCGAGTACTCAAAAATTTCATTTTCTTTGATTTTTATTATCTACAATACCGTATTTGCTAAAATAATTCCCCTGGGTAATTAATGTTTCAACCTTTCGCGGGAGGGGGCGGTAATTAATAGGGATGGGGTAATTATTTGAGAGAGGGACATTATTTCAGCATTAACGGTAATTATGCGTAAATCTCTTTAAAGTTCACATTTACCCAAAAAAACTTATAAATTTCTCATGAAAGTAATATAAAATTTAGAGAGATTTTAGAATTTTAAGTTTATGATTTTTATTATTCACTTTTTTATCCCTCTTTAATTTTTTTTTAATCTTGAAATTTTAAAAAAAAATAAAATTTCTCTTTTTAGTTTTATTTATGATTTTTGATTTTTTAAATAAACTACTTAATACAATTAATTAAAAATAAGCAATAAATAATTTTATTAAAAATGCGTCAACGAGGTAGACCTCGTCGTTCATCAATGCCTGCAGTGGCACATAATAAAGTACATTTAAAAATATATTTTTTATAAAAATATTTTTTTCTCTTATTTTTTTATTAGTCTTTTGATCACCCTTATGGTCGTCAACAACAAAGTCCTCCAGATCGTTATCATTCAAAACAATATTACAATAGTGGAGGCCCAGATAGTGGTGCTGATGGAGAGGGGGAAGATGACGATAGAGAAAGGCAACTTTCTGATCGTTATTCAAGAATTCAATTGGTAGATCATTGTAATTCAATGCCGCCTGTTGGGCAAGTGAAGAATACAGCTGTGAGTTCCTCTGTCTCACAACTTCAAAGCTATTTTTATTCTGGTGTGTTTTTGGAATAAATAAAATGCTAGAGGGTTGTTGGTTCTAGGAAAATCTTTGGGTATCCGGGATCGAACCGAAAAATCTTCTGAAATTAAGATGACAGTTTATGCGTCCAATTTTAAGAGTCCAAGGATTCCTTTAATTTAATATTTAATGCTATTAAGGTCCTGACCATCATCCTTATGATGTAACTCATCCACAACAACATTTTACTGAACTTAGTTCTTCTGAATACTTAAACTATCCACAACGAATGGACGATGAGGAATTTGATAGAGGTCATCCAACAAGTCAGGATGAAGAAGAAGAGGAAGATGAGGAGGAGGAAGAATGTGAAGAAGAAATATTTGCTTCAGTTGGTCCATCAAGTTCAAAGAGGAAACGGGCATTTTCTTTTTCAAGTGCTTCTTGTGCCTCTACAACAAATACAATGACAATTAGTTTGGCAGCAGCAGGTGGATGTGCGGGGTCATCAACAAACTTTGCTCCAATGGAGAAACGTCCAGCAACGAAAATTTGTCGTGTTTGTGGGGATAAAGCATACAGTTATAATTTTAATGTGATAACTTGTGAATCTTGCAAAGCTTTCTTTCGACGTAATGCCAACAAAGAAAAAGTAATTTTGGGGGTTTTTTACAGAATGAGGTTGCAAAGAATTGAGCTAGACAATCTGGAAGATCCTTTCGAAGGATTCTTTCGAAATCTTTTGAATTTTTTTGTATATCTGACCAAGGAAATTTAGTGGACCTTCTTTGGGATTCAATCCATGTTGACACTACCTTATTAGGGAACATCTATCGCTACTTTGTCCCCCGAATGAGGATTTTACTTGTAATTTTTATAGGAGATTCGTTGTCCATTTAATGAGCAATGTGACATCAATACAGTTTCTCGACGTTTTTGTCAACGTTGTCGACTTCAAAAATGTTTTCGAGTTGGAATGAAAAAAGAATGGATAATGAGTGATGAAGCTAGACTTGAAAAGAAGCAAAGAATCCAAGAAAATAGAGAACGTCGAGCGGCTGCTGCTGCGGCCGTTGCTTCTGTAAATGCCGCTCTTGGATTGGGTGGGCAAATGGGAGGTTCTGCTGCAGTTTTTAAACATTCTACGGAGATGGATCAACAAGAGTTGGCTTTAACTCAACAACAAACGAGAAAGAGTATTAAACAGGTGGGAAATATATTTTTAATTAAACCTCCAATTGAAATTTTAAGAAATTGAACATTCAAATAAAAAAATATTAAAATTTTTTTTTAAATCTATAAACATTCCTTTAATTCAATTTATCAAAAAACATTAAAATTTAAGGAACAGCCACTCCTTTCAGCAGATTCAATAACTACCGCTTCTTTTCTTCAAACACAACAACAAACCCAAGCAGCACAACGAGTTGAAATGTTACAAGTCGAGGCTTTACATACTGAGCAACAACAGCAACAACTCGTACCTCAATTAACGCACCAACAAGAAGTCCCCAATACACTAGTTACTGATTTACCACCTAATCCTTTGGTTGGATTACAAAATCCCTTTACTTCTCCAGCAGCCGCGCCATTATTGAATACACAAACAACCGGTACTGAACAAGTAATGGCTGCAGCTAAAGTAGCAGCTGCTGCGCAAGTTGCGGCTGTTCAACAAGTTGTGAGCTTTTTCTATTTAATTGGAATTTAGTTGTTAAATATGCCCTTAAAACCTTTTAAAAGGGAATGTATGTGGGTATATTGAAATTGTTGTGACCCAATCTCCCAACTTTTCAGGTTAACCAAGCAGCCGCTGCTGTTCTCCTTCATCATGCACATCAACAACAACAACATTTACAACAACAGCTTGACGATATACCAATGGAACAACAACCACAACCTGAACAACAATCCCAACAACAATTTAATGTTGCAGATGAACTTCCTCCTCCGGTTGTTGGGGTTCCTGTTGGGAGTAGTACTTCTATTCACACAACAGTGGCAGGTGGGGGGCATGTTGGGGATGTTCAACAACCACAAGCTGCACCACCTCCTGCTTTGGCTGCTCTTGTTGCTGCCGCTGCAGAAGAAGCAGCAGCAATGCAACAACCACAAACACTGCCTTTACAGAGTGAAAATGTTGTGCAAGTTGAGTTTGAATTTCCTTTAATTAGGTCAAATAAAAATAATCTCGGATTATACATAAATTTTTACCTAATTATCAAATTTCACCTTTGATAGTTGGTCTTTAGGGTAGCATTTAAATAATGCATATGTTGACCCACCATTCTTTCCCATGTTTTGTTCTTCATTAATCATCTTTCAATGTTGACCACAAAAATAATATTGATATATTTATTTTTGTTTTTAAAGTAAATAAAATAATGATTCAAAAATTAGGTCAATTAAATAATAATAATTTACAATAATCACCTCCAAAGAACCATTGAAAGGTATTTATCGTTTGTAAGGGGGGAATCTCTACTGGTTAGTGTTTAAAGTAAAATATTATTTCTTCTCCATTTTTTCCTATTTTTAGTGTTCTTCTTCCCCCTCCTATATTTTATTTTATCGCTATTCCCCCAATTTTACCTACTTTTTTGTCCCTTCGATTTTCCCCCATTGCAATATTTTTAGTTATATTTTTATTTAACACCTTGCCCTATCAACCTTCACTACTCCTTGTCTCACACAGTCTTAAGATTGGCCTCCTCACTCATGACATTTAGTGGGACACAGACTATTTTAGATTATTATTTTTTATCTCTATGTAGACATTCCTCTTTATTTTTTATTTTTTATGTAGAAATTAAGTAAATTTTTTAGATTTTTATGGGGTAAAAAAAAGAATTTCCATATTTGATTCATTTAGTCAGATTTATAATAATTATTTGTTCGTGTCCTCTCCTACAGCCTCTCCTACATCCACAAACTTTTTTCCCCATTGATTCAGTTATTTTGGAGATATATGTAGATTATCAGGATTAACCCTCTAATTAAAAATTATTTTTTGATTTTTAAAAACTTTATTTTCCTTTTTAATCCAAAAATAAATTTTTAGGGCTTCAACAACACCCTTCTTCATTGTTAGTTTCTGCTGGACTTATTCCAGATACTAACAACCAATCAACTTCAACAATGATTACAACAACCAACGAGAATTCTAATACCCTCCCCCCTGCCGTTGCTGCAGCATTAATTCAACAACAACATAGCCAACAACAACAAATTTCAGGCAATCCACCAAATATTACAACACAACAGGCATCAGCAGTAACTGAATCTATTCAGCAACAAATTGTTGCTTCTCATGTAAAATATTTATTTTAGATATTTTAAAACATTTAGAGAACAAATATAAACTCCTTTCTAGTTGTAAATTTCAATTTATTTTCTTTTAGCAACAACAAGCGGCCGCTGCAGCAGCAGTAGCCCATCATTTACAGCAACAGCAACAAGTACAACATGTTGCTCAACAACAAGCGGCTGCTCAAATAGTAGCTGCTGCACAAGTTCAACAAATGCAACAACAAATAGCTCAACATCAGCAACAACAAGTCCCTTTACTTTCCTTAGTTTAAAAATATTTTTTTAATTTTTAAGTTGGCTGCTTTAGCAAATGTAGCTGCTGTTCATCACCATCAACAACAACAGCAGCAACATTTAAATCAACAGTCATTAAATACAAATAATGCTTTTTTAACATCTGGGAGTACAACTAATGCTCAAAATGAAAATGTTAATCAACAATTACAACAAGTAGTTTATTTAAATATTTTCATAATTTAATTGTGTAAATATATCCTGTAAAATTAATTAATTCTTTCCACCTTTTGTATTAATCGGACAGTTATTAAATTTGTAAATCTGGATTTCAAACGAACAATGAATTAAAAATTATTAACAGATTAATAACCCTATAGGGCTCGAGTTAAGTTTAGAGCTTTCATTATTTGCATAGTTGTTTACGTAAATATTGTTTATGAAAGATTATTTCACAAATAAATCTGAGTTTGTGGTGAATTTATTATTTCCGAATATTCATATCTCCACCATTGTCTATAAATTTCAATTTTCGTATTCGTGTCTTATTTGTTAGTATCAACATACGAGTATGAATTTTGTTACGAGCTTTTAAGTACTGATCTCCATTACTTTCCTGATTACATATTTTTAGGTTGCCAATGTTTTCTCTACGGGAACAATTCAAAATAATAACCAGCAACCTCCAAATATTTCTTCTCAAATTGTTACTCCAGCCCCTTCAACTGGCATTTTACCGAGCTGTTTTATTGAGGTAGCTGCTGCCCATTTAGCTTCACAACCTCAACAAACACCTCAACAGCCTTCAATTCCTCCCCCTCCAAATCCAAATGTATTACCACAATTAATTCCACAAACAACAACACAAACTGGAAATATTTTAATTCAACAACCGTCAAGTATTGTCGGTCTTTTAATTTTTAAAAATATTCGTAGTTAATAAAATATTAGTTTTGAGAGTTATTTTGCAAAAATGTTTAGTAGGTGGTAAGATGAGACTTTGGGTATTCTATAAATTCTCTAGGAAATTTAAGAAAATATAATAAAAATATTTGATTTTTAAGCAAAAATATTTTTGAGGGATTTACATGCCTCAATTCTAGAGAAAATTTTGACATTAATTATTTTTATTTAATTATTTTTTCATTTAATTTAGATGAGTATTGGAACTGGAGGAGGTCAATTAAATAATAACAATAATTGTACACCTCCCCAACAAAATACTTCTTCAATTCAACAACAGCAAACAATTACTTCTTCAATATCTACTAACCAATCTCAATCACAAAATTTGCTTCAATGTCAACAATTTCCACCCCAACAACCACAACAACAGCAACAACCAATTCATCCACAATATTTAGAAATGGTTTCAATTCCAAAAGATATTTTACTTAAATTGGTAGAACAACGAATTGAAAGTGACAAAACACAAGTACAACCACCAAGTAAATGTTTGTGTCATTGCCATTGTGGGAGATATCCAAATGATGTTCCTATTGTTGATAAGGTGTGAATATTTTAATTTTTAAGAGAGTGGATTACACCCAAATTTCGAATAAATATTATAACTAGGGCGTGGAAAAACATACAAATGCATGTTTTAATGCGGATTGCCATGATGAGAGAAGCACAAAAATGGTGTTTTACTAGGCAACAATAGAAATAGTTTGAAAGTAGATATCATAAAAAATAACGCCTGACTTGAACGTTTCAGCATCAGGCCTATTTAGGAATAAAACAGGCATTTTGCCTAAAATCCTAGCTCTATTCACTACTATCAAAAAGTGTTTAATCCTTACATATTTTGCATTTTAAATTATGTAACAGTTTCTCCTTAGTTTTTCCTTGATTAATTCGTATCTTTCTAATAATCCTTCTTAAAAGGTTATGACTGATTTGTTGGAAGGTTCATCTAAACATCTCGGAGGAGGGGACAACAATAGTACAAGCAGTAACAATTCTACACCTCGAAATTCTCTTCAATCACAGCCTGTACATTTCCAGTCTGTCACTAACGGGCAAATATCATTACAACAAACACAACAACAAAACACTTTAATTAATCAATCTATTACTACTGGAAATTTTGTTGAAACAATGGACACAAGTACTTTAATAATTAAATTAAAAATTGTGTGTTTGTTTGTGTTTGGATATTATTCACTCTTAAAGTTAATCAAAAAATATTTCCCTTATAACTTGTATGTATTAATTGCCCTCCCTCAACCCAACATATTAATTACCCCCCACGCCTCCAACGATGGATTGGAATAATACTTACCTCATAATTACCTTTCATCAAATACCCTAAAACACTTTCAAATTTCAAACCTCATATAATAACCTTTCTCAATTAATTACTCCCTCCAGCGGAAGGTCGAGACAATAATTACCCAGGGTAATTATTCAGAGTTTTACGGTAGTTAGATTGTTATTTAACTTTAAATTTTGTGTCAGTATTTTCTTAAAGTTTATTATATTCTAGTTATAGACAATTAATTCTATTTTTAAAACAAGGCGGCGCTTCGTTTTCAATTGCTTCCTCTCTACACCAACTCAGTGCTTCTGATCAAGAACAATTGGCTGAATTGTCAAAGGCTAACGAAATTTGGAAGACTTCAGCAACAACTTCTTCAAACATTTCCTTAACTGCGGGAGGGGCTTCTGGAGATTTACAGTTTTTGATGGGACATTACACAGAATCTGATTTGCGTCGATTAATTGGTTTAGCTAAATCTTTGGATGCTTTTAAACGTCTTGATCAACACGACCAAGAACGTTTATTAAAAAGTGAATAAAGTTTTGTAAAAATTGAGAAAATATTTTTAAATTGAAGGTTGTTTCGGAAGTTTTTTTGTTCTTCGTTCTGTTCTGAGTGTGGAAGTGAATGAATTTACTGTTGCTATTTTACGACAAAATGGAGTTCCTGAATCAACTATAAGGTAAAAAATTGGGATTAAGCCTTGAGATATGCCATAAGTTTCGGTTGATTATTTACTAATTAAGTTGAGAAATCTCTGGGATATTTGGAGCCTAAGCATTCTTTGATGTTTTATTTTAAAGATTCTACGTTGATTTTCCTGTCGAATGGCGCCGAAACGAAACAATTAATTTATTACTTGGACTTATTCTTCTTTTCAATGTTGAAGTTGCTGATTTACAGAGTGCGATTTCTGTTACTGTTGAAAATATGAAATTTCAATCTTTGCTAAAAAGGTAGAGGAATTTGTTTAATTTTTTTTAAATTACTGAAAGTGTTGTAGATAATTTTCTATTTTTATCAGTTATTTTAACTACAAACTTAAACATTTTCAGGCTTCTTTATGCATTTTGCGATCGTGACTCTGTTAAAGCCGAAACAGTTGCAGCAGAATTACTTGCTCGAGTCGAGCATTTAAAGCAATTATTCCCTGGAGGAACACCAACACATAATTCCTTGGGTATTGGGACTTGTAATAATTTGGCTTTTGCACCCCAAACGATTGGACAACAACAACAAATTGTTTCGACTAGCCAATTAGTTGAATGCTCGAATTCTTCGATTAATATAAACACTAGTAGTTAACAAGTAAAGAAGATTTTGTTTGATTTTTCAAAATTTTGAGAAAAAAGTGTGTTTTGGGAAATTAGGATAGGTACGAGAAGGATAGTTAAAAACAAAAAAATTGTATTTATTTTGCAGTCCTTCCTTTTTCCATAGTTACTGATATTACGACACAGCCTTAAGGCAAAGATTTAATTTAAAATTTATTTTTTTAATTTATTAAAATTTATTTTTTTTATTTTAGGACATGCATTAATATTTAATGCCATAAACAAGACGAAATTAGTTATCAAAAATAAAATACAATATTTATCAGTTGCATATTAATTTAATTAAATATTTGTCTTTTTATATAAACTAATTTGGTTTGCTCCTTCTTTGCTCCTCAAGCCCTCCATACTTATTTAGATTTTTTCTAGCTAATTTTTCTGTCAATTCTCCTTTGGTTCTGTAACTTTTCCGTAAGAATTTGTAAAAGTGACTGTGAGGATCTTGGAGAGGAGCTAACTTTATTCGTTTTTTAATCCTCTTTCTCATTTAATTTATAAGGATTGTATCTTTATCAGAGCTGAAATTTGAAAATATTCCGTCTTTCTTTTATTTTTAAGTAATTCCCTTTCCAATTAAATATTACACTTATAATATATTTGCTCATATTCTTACACTATATATTTTTTTACTTTAACAAGAAAAATTTTATAAATAAATTATTTAAATTTATCGGAGTTTATTTAAAAATATTTTTTAACAAATTTTGAAATAATTACAAGGAAATTCTTAACTTGTAAGCCCTATTATCCAAGAGGTTAAATTGGGGGAAACAGAAGAATCGAGTTACGGGTCTTTGATAATATAAAACTATAGGAGTGACATTTTTAGAGTGAAAAATAAAATTCAAAGATAGCCCATTTAAAGGCAAGCCTTAAATGAGACTAAATCTAGCTTAATAAAATTTGAAACTGAAAAATTTGGGGAAAGTTTTAAATCCCATAATATTTTTAAAATTTGTCCCCGACTTGTGAACCAGTGTCCTCGACTTGTGAATTATTTATTGTACATTAAATTTTGCCTGCTTAATGCCGTGTTTATCATCAATTTAAAAAATAATATTTTGATTTTTTTTAATGTCAAAAAATTCAAACGTAATAAAACTAAAGTGTCGAAAGCCGAGAATTCGAAAATAAGTGACCGAGAGTAATTTTTCAGCAGAGATAGATCGAAAATTTTATAATACATACTTTAGTTAACTTATTAGTGCTCATTAGTTTAATTAACTTACTTATTACATAACTTATTAGTTTAATAATTAACTTATTAGTGTTGCAGGAAGGAAATTATAATTTTTTAAGGCCAAGAAGACACAATTCTTCCATTTTTTCGGAAACCAAGAGACTACAATTTCTCCAGATAAAATCGAAAAAATTTTTAAAAACAGATATTGGTTTATACATAATTATTTAATTATTTACATATTTCTAAAAGTAAAAAACAAAAGGACGCTCTTTACTACATTAGGAGTTACAAGCATATATAACTGAAATAAATTTTCCTAAAATGACAAATGAAAAATATTTTTCCATTGATGAGGTTAATTTGCATAAATATCCAGATGATATTTGGCTAATTAAAGATGGAAAGGTATTTAAATAATTAAATTAATAAATTAATTTATTTAAAGGTTTATAATTTAACCTGTTATTATAAATGTATGTTTTAAATTTAAATAAAAAAATTTAAAAAATTATTTTTTTAGCTCATCCAGGTATTTAAAATATTCAATTATTTGAATATTAATTTTTTAAATAGGAGGTGATGCTATGCTTAAATATGCGGGGAAAGTAATTAATTCTTTTAAATTAATTATTTTGTTCATTTTTAAAGGATATAAGCATTGCAATAAATAATGTTGTGGCACACGGATTTTCTCGAGAATTTATTGAAAATAAACTATCTGAGCTTTATATTGGAAAAATAAAATAATTTTTATTGAGAAGTTAAAAGGCTTAAAACAATAGAAAATACTAGAGTTGGTCGTGATCGGGATTTTGGAATAATGATCCCGAGCCTGGGTCCCAACCGGGATCCCGATCCCGGTCAACTCTAGAAAATACTTAAAAATATGTATATTTATATATAAATTTATTAAAAATAAAACAATTTAATATCGTTATCATTTCAAAATAAATATAAAATAAAATTTAAAAAAGGAGGTAACAGAGTGTATACTTAATCGGTTCCGAGAAAATCCTTCAAGAACTTCCCAAACAATTATAAATAAAATAAAAAATTTCTAACAAAAAATATAAAAATATTATGTATATATAAATGTAAAGAATAAAATTTTATAAGGCAATCACACAAGAAGAATCAATTCCTGAATCAAATACAGATAATTGCCTTTCTTTTTCTTCTCTTAATTTGTCTTGATTAGCTGACTGGAAAAATTTAAAATTGATTTTTAAAGAGTAAAAAAAATTAATTTAGTTATTATTAAGTATTTTAATAATTATTAAGTAATTATTATTAAGTATTATTAAGTATTTAATTTATTTTTTACATTAATATTCAACAACAATTCCTTATTTCCTTCATTTTCACATTCTTCATTATTTGGCAATAAAAATACATTTTCTTCTTCTTTTTCTTCATTATTTAAATTATTTCCTTTATCTTTTTCAATTTTTTTATTTTCTTTTAATTTACTATTTGCCTTAATTGGCACGCAAATAGTTAATGAAGGAGTTGTTGAAGAAGAAATTAAAGAAGAGGAAGGTAAACGTGCAAATTTCTTTAAAAAATATTCTTTTTTTTAATAAAATTAAAAAAAATTAATTACTTGAATGTCTAATTCACTCGCTGGAATATTTAATGCTGTATAAATTAATGCCAAATCTCTCGAAAAAAGGAACGGCCTATTCTCTCCCACACATCCAAGAGGTTTTTCATTAATAGCGGATTCATCCCAATTAACAAAAATCTAAAATTTATAGTAATTAATTTCTAAAATAAAAGGAAAATAGAGTTTTTAGGCCAAAACATTTTTGGAGGCAGCTCAAAGAATTATTTAGTCATCAATCAAAATAATTTAAAAAATTCTGCCATAGTAAATCAGAGAGATATGGATAAGTAGATAACAGCAACTTTGCTTCGGGGAGCTTATTTTAGACCAATTCCTTCAATTTTTTATATTTTCTAGGATCGGTCCGTCATTTTACTATCTCAATTTTTTATTATAGTAAAGCAGCTGGGCTATAGTTATTCTCTCCTTTAGCTAGTGCAAAAGGTTAATCGGCGGCTGTGAGCGAACCAGCATCTTCAGTAGACCGGACTGATGTGTTATTCATTACATCATGCGCCTGCTGCATAGCCTTAGGAATTAAATAGCACTATATGCCTTACATTATAAGAGCTTTTTCGGACTTAACTAAAGGGGCGTATAAATTAAAAAATCTTTTTTTTTTAATTTTTAAAAATTCTTAACAGTTTTTTCCGGATCCATTTGTTGATGGAGAGCACAAAAGACGTGATCAAAAATGTCTGATGAATTACAAGAAATATTTGTACTTGTTTTTGATACTTCATTTGGAGTAATTAATTGTTCGGCTCTTTTATCCCAAAAGAAAACTGCCTTTAATTAAAAGATATTTTTTCTTAAATTTTATTTATTTCTCTTTACTTTATCAGCTTTTGTTGTTGCTTGTTGTACCCAAAGAAGTAAATTCCTTTCAATAGCCGTTTTATCCCAACGATCATAAAATATTCTAACGCCGTTTTTAACTAACAAACGGGCAAAACGTTCCAAATCGGCACTTTTTGTTGGTTGGGCATTGGCTAATAAAATCGAATAAACACCACCAGAAACATTCCCATTTAATAAAGGAACACCACTATTGTTGTATTTCTTGGAGGTAGCTAGGATATTATGTTCATTTTTTGGTTTTCTTAAAGAAATAATTTTAAAATTAAATTTAAAAAATATTTATTAAAACCTCCAAAAATGAAATAAATCTCAATTTTGATAGGGGGAGGGACTGAGATTGTTTAAACAATGTAAGATAACTTTCATTTTTTAATTTGATGTTCAGTTTCAAAAGAACATTTAAAATTGAGGTCCGACTGTATAGGTATTATTTGGATAGGTTATCAGGATACAACAAGTTGTGAAGTAACCCGGTGACATCCCTGATATATGTAAAATTTTGTACTTGAAATCTTTGGATTTATTTAAATCCCTCCAAGCCAAAATTTTTTTAAAAAAATTCTCGTAGATTAACTACAAAACTCTCTCCAATTAAATATCTATCTTAATTTTAAAAAGATATTCCCAAATACCTGATAATAATAAAGGATTGCCTTTTTCCTTTTATCCAGCCAATTTTCTTTAAAATAAAAAGTAAAAATGCAAAAGTAAGAAGAATAAAAGTTAAGGCAAGGAATAAACAAATTAAAATTAACAAAAATAAAGAATTTGTTTTTTCTTCGTTTAATTTTAATATTTCATTTTTGCTAGTATTTAATAGGGAAATTGTTTCTTGTATAGGTTCGTGATTAAAAGTAATTGAAGATGTAGAAGCATTTGGCATTGTAAACCAATCAGAAATAACCTTTAAATTAAACTTTCTTTTAAAAATAAAATTTTTTTATTTAATCCTAAGAAATTTCAATTTTGTTTATGTTGGATAGAAGGAGATTGGGGTTGTTATCTGCAAATACGCTAACATTTTTAGAATGTAGATAATCTCAGTTAGAGTAAAAATAATAAATTAACCCAATGATTGTACTAAATAAATTTAAAAATTTATATTTGAGGAAATTAAATAAATAGAAGGGGTTTAGAGAATCGAGATCTTAAATTAAAAAGGAAAACAAAGTCTAAATTGCAAGGGATGTCTGTGGTTATCGTTATAAAAGTTTTAAATAATTAAAAACTTGCCTGAACACACCCACATTTATTATTTAATTCACAAATACAATTTCCATCTATTTCTCTTCTTTCTATCGGAATTATTCTAATTTTATATTTTAATCTCGTATCGCTACTCAAAAGATCTCTAAATTCAACAAAACCGATAAATACTCCCGGCCCTTCATTTATCAAATTTTCAACAATTTTTTCTTGTAAAAGAGAATTTAATAACCACAATTGTATTTTGTATAAATTAATGCAAAATGAAGGAGGCGCTCCAAAAAAAGAAATATTTATAGCAGAATGTAGAGGGTAAAAAACAACAGAACGAAGTGCTCCTGTCCTTTAAAAAAATTTGGGGATTAAAAATACTCGGAATAAACTCTCTCTCAGTTATCCGAATCGTTTAAGACTGAAAAACTGGGAGTTCTGGGGTAGTAATGAGATACCGTAAAACTTTTATTAACTATCCTGGATAATTATTGTTTCGACCTTCCGCTGGAGGGAGTAATTAATTGAGGAAGGGTAATTATATATGAGGTTTGAAATTTGAACGTGTTTTAGTGTATTTGTCTGGAGGTAATTATTGTTTCAATCTATGCTGGAGGGGGTAATTGATAAAAGTGGGGAAATTATTTGAGGGAGGGCAATTAATACAGGTTATATGGTATGTAATTATAAGATCTAATTTATAATTATTTTTAAAAATAATTAACCATCTACTAGCAAACGATTGCCGCTTTTTCCATTCTTTTAAATTATGATCATCAACAACATTATTTTCATTTAATTTTTGATGGCAAATATTTGAATTTAATTCTTCTGCTAAAAAATTAATTTTTAAAAAATTCTAAATTTATTTTTCTTTCAAAAAGAAATTAAAAAAAATAAAATTTTGTAAAAATAAAAAGTAAAAAATAGCAAAAATAACTGGAACGGAAAAAAATGGAAGTGAACATTCCAATAATTTTTTATTTTTTTTTATCTCTTAGATAAATAATTAATTAAAAATTTTTGTTCAAACAGATATAGACGCTGATAAAAAAATTGATTTAAGGTGTGGGCATGCAAAATTGTTAAATATAGAACCTATGGATTATAATTAAATTTTTTCTGAACAATTTTTTGTTTGAAACATGAGTGAGTGGTGGGTATTTAAATGGAAATATGTAAATGGAAATTGTCGAGAAAAAAAGGAATCCTTTTCAAAACCGAAAATTAAAAAATATTTTTTTAGGTTTTTTAAAAACTAACGTAAAGAATCAAAATTAATTTGTTTGTCAGTAAATGCATATATCCCTTCTTCAATATTAGTTAAATTAAAAAATGAAGAATTTTTATTTAATTCTTCATTTTGTTGTTGTAATGAAGGTAAAGAAATTATCTAAAAAATAAAACAAAAATTTAAAAAAAATAAAAAGAATTTTAATTTTCTCATTTTCGCTAATTTAGAAAGGTTGTTTGCCCCTCACTAATTAAAATAACAAAAACAAATAACCCCCTAATTTTGGGAGGATATTTAAAAATAGAGGTTGATTGTAATAACATTAAGTGAATAAAATAAAAGATTTTAAATATTCAAATTAAAATTCAAAATATAAATTTACTTTAATATTGTAAGAATATCCAAATTTAAATAAATCATCCAATTGCAAAACAATTTTTAACTTTAAAAATAATTTTTAAAAAATTATTTTATTTATTATTTACCCTTTGTAAATTTCCAATAGAAGAATTATTAAATGAAGAAATTGCTATGTAAATACTTTTAGTTTTATTTATTTCTTCAATATAAAGAAATATTTTATAAAAATTAAAAAATTTTGTGGATGTAAATTCCCATCTTAAAATTGCTGAAATAAATAATTGGCCGTTTGAACGATTTACCTAAAAAATTATGGGGAAATAAATAAATACTAAAGTTACACCGGAACCGAAATTTTGACCGGAACCGGATCCTATTTGAGTTCCGATTCCCGGAACCGGAACCATAAAACACCGGAACTTTCCGGAACCGGAATCGGAACATAAGGTGAAATAAATACGTGAGTAAAGAGTATTTAAATATTATTTAATAAAAAGAAAAGGAAATTTTTTTAACAAATTTACTAAAATTAATTCATTTGAGGGGCTTGAAATGTCCTTGGGACTTCGGGATGAAATTTGATAGAAGTCCCACAGACACCTCAGGCACTCTCCTTTGTGAGAGAATTCCTTTAATTTTTGAAATTTTCTGGTTCCATAAGAAGGGATAGGGAGGTTAATTAATAAAATATAAATAAATTAAATTACTTTAAAAGAATAATATAATTCTAAAGGATTGACAGAATTAATTAAATTATTCTTTTCTTCTTCTTTAGAAATATTTTTTAAATTATTAATAATATTTTTTGAATAATTTCCTTCTTTTTCCACAATTTCATTAATTTTACATTCCCATTTATTTAAATTAAATAAAGGATCTTTACATTCAATTAAATATTGTTCTTCTTCTTTTTTATTTAAATTTAAATTATTTATTGGAATAATTAAATTAATTAAAATATTAAAAATAAAAATAAATTTAATTAAATATTTAAACATTTATTTATCTAAAAAAATTTAAAAAAAAGTATTTTTTTATTAAAAATATATTTTTATTTTTACAATAAAATTTAGAGAAAAATATTTTTTAAACAAAAAACAGGGAAAGTCAAAAAATAATTTTTTTATTAAAAAATAAACTAAAATTGTAAAAAAGGTAAAAAAGTATTCATTCAGAGAGAGTTATTAATTTATAAGGGAGCAGGCCAACGTACCGCTGAGCTATAACTTCGTTCAAAATAGCCAAATCCGCGACGTCTTGGTATGGTTCGATGCATCTCGACGAGCTGAGTCGAACCATATCAGGCCGTCCCGGATTCGACCATTTTGAACGGAGTTATAGCACTGCGGTATGTTGGCCTCGCAGTACGTTGGGGTGTACACAATTTATAAGTAGTAAAAAGATTTTAAAATTACAATGTTAAAAATAAATTTAAAAAAAAATTAATTTTTAAATAAATATTTACATTTAAATTATTAAAAAAATTTTTTTTAATTTTAACAAACAAAATTAATTTTTTAAAAATTCCAAAAAAAATTAAATACTTTAAATAATTAAAAGATTAAAAAATATTTTGCACATTTATCAAAAATATAAAACATCAAAAGAAAAATAAATGTTTAAAATTTATTAACGTTTTTTAGTTAAAGAAAATGAATTTTTGTAGAGAAAAATGTTTAAATAAATTTGTTTGGTTATTTATTTTTAAGCTTTTAAAAAATAAACTTTAGTCTTTTTTAAAGAAAAATATGTGTGTAGCTTTCAAATTATTTTTGAGAGAGAGAGAGGTTTTTTTTGTCAGTTTTTTTGGATAACAAATAAAACAAAACTTTATTTAATTTATTGTAATAATCACTTCAATGTTTATTTAATTTGTTAGTCATTTTTTATTTAAAATTTTGTTAAAAATAATGGTAATTCCTCGGCTTACGCCCACCCCCTTTTTTATGTTTCTCTGACCATTTTGAGCTTTTCTGCTTGACATAATAGTAATAATATTATGCTTTTTTTGACATGCTTTTTTTACAATATATCATTCGAAAGAGCTGTCCTAGCTGGGTAGATTGATACTGTGAGAGGTTTTTTTGTCAGTTTTTTGGGTGATTTTGAACAAATTAGATTTGGTGATTTTGAACAAAATTATGAAGCTAAATCCTCAATGTACATGCTTTTTGTGATGTTAAAAGGGATTAAAACAAATGCTCATAACTGTTTATTTAAGTCGGATTTCGATTATTCTAGTATCGTTCGAATCAGCTCGAAGAGCTCTTTTGAATTATATAAAAAATTCATAGAAATTTCATAGAAATTGAAAAAATAGAACACAAAATGGGGGGGGGGCTTCATCCGAAGAATTACCAAAATAATTATTTATTTTTTATTTAAAAATCGTGGAATTATTTTTTTAAGAAATTATTTTAATAAAAAAAGTAACAAATAAATAGAGACTATTTTTAAATTTATATTTTATTTAAGAAAAGATAAAGGGAAAATATTAGAAAAAATCAAAACTAAACACGAGTTAATTTAAAAAAATATTTGTTTTTAAATAGAAAGAAAGAGAAGAAGAATAATCGAATTTTATAAACGATCTACCTATTTTAATTGCCAAAAAGAAGAAATTAAATATGTAAGTTAAAAAGGGTTAAGAAATTTTATGGTAAAAGATAAAAAAAGAAATAAAGAATAAATTAATTTAATTATTTAAAGTAGGGGTGGACAAAAAAACCTTTTACCATTTATCTGAGACCCGTATACCCCATCCCGTTTAACTTTACCAAAAAACCCATTTATTGTTTAGTTAAACAGTTTTGTCCAACCCTAATTTAAAGGATTATTAAATAAAATTAATTGTAATTATTGTTAAAACAATTAAAATAGGGAAACAAAAGGGAAGAAAAAAAAGATTTCAAAGTTAAATAAAGTATTACAAAATATAATTAGAGAAAGGGGAAAATTAAAAAATAACACAATAAAGAGTAAATTAAATGTAAAATAAAAGGAAATTTTTTTATTTTTTAAAAGTTAATTTAAAAAATAAATTTTTATAAAAAATTTTTTTAATTTTCTAGACATGATTATTACCAATCAATATGAAGAATTGTTAGTTAATATTTGTGAAAGAAATTTAAATTAAAATGAAAAAAAAATAAAAAGACGAACACAGACAGACATTAAATTTCGTCATAATAATTAATATTAATTTTTTTTTTGTCCAAAAAAATTATTTTTAAATATTCTATAACCTTGATATTTATTTTATTATTATTATTTTTAACATTTAAATTAATAACCTTGAATTTAAAAAAAAACAATAAAAATAGAGAAATGGTAGTGGGAGGAACGAGAATAAATGAGTGAAAAAAAGGAGGGGAAAATCTTTTTGAAGTTGAAGTCTTTTAACTGCCGCCAAAATTTATTTTTAAGTATTTCTCTCTTTTTTTTTAATTTTTGTCAAGACCAAAGAGAGCGCAAATTGGTCGACAGATAAATTTATATTGCCAAAAAGTCAAAGAGTCTCTAAAGCAAATAAACAAAAAGAGAGAGGGAGAGAGATTGTGTTCGACTAATGTATTTATTTGTTTGTTCTCTTTTTTGTGTGAATCGATTGGCCGGGCCGATTGATTCGCAATCATTGGCCATAAAACGAACAGAACATTTTGTTTTTTTCTTCTTATGTACAAAGAAAATTTAAAATTAACAAATGGGATGATCGAGATCCCGCTCGAGAACTGTCTTTGTTATAAAAATATTT